TGATTATGGACTGAAACCTCCACAAACTGTAAGCTAAATAAACCTTTCCTTCCTTAATTTTGGGTGTGGGGTATTTTGTCCCAGCAGTGAAGAGTGACTTAAGACATCCCTTTCATCATTAGCCCACAGAGGAGAGACTCTCTCCCTGGAGCTAGTTTATTTTTTTCCCTCTTTACTATGCTACTGTCCCAGATGTCTGGATATTCCCAAGCTTCCATTTCTCTCTGATTTCCAGTGTTGCTCACTACTGCTCACCTCAGAATGCACCTCAAGCCTGATTCTTTGGGTTTTTGTGGAGGTGCAGGTAAGTGCTGGGTGTGTCTGTTCAGCACTGGAAGGTGGCTGCTTCTTGGGCAGCTGGGAAGCAGGTCTGTAACCTGAATGCAGCCCAATAAGAGGCAAAGCAAGTAAGAACCAGAGAACTGATGGACAAGTCCAAGTGGAGGTCATCTTGTAAGAGTGGTTCTCCTTTCATTCTGTCTGATGTGGCCTCACTGCAAAGACCTGTGTTCCTGTCTATCCTAGTGAGATCCTCAGACTTCTTGGTTTTTTCTTCTCGTGTCAATCCATCAGCTTCCTTTCATTACATGATGCAGCCTCTTCCCAGTGATTGTAGCCAAACACACCCTGACTTGAGCAAGATTTTTTAGGAAGCAGATCTCTGCCCTTGACACCGATTTCACTAGAATCCTGATGCATAGTTGCCACTGAAGTTACAGCTACAAAGGCTAAGGCTGGAGCAGTGTTTTGAGATCCGCAGGATAAGACCACTTCTATAGGTTGTAAGTTCAATTGCCCAATGAGAAAACATGTGATGTAGGGGTGTGCAAAACATCCTGGGATCCTTGCCCTCCTGTAGCTGGAGTGCATTCTTGCATTCAGGAAACATGAAGACCTATTATATGTATGCCGGGCATTGTTTCAGCTTCTAGGGATACATTCAAAACAGACAAAAACCTCTCTCTGTTAAAGTGTACAGAGGGAATAAGTAAAAGAAAGATACATCACTCGATGAAACATTGTGCAAACAACACCAAAAGCAGAGGAGGGCCAGGGGAGTGTGTAGAGGGTTTAACGGTGTAGATGGGGTGGTCACACAAGGAGTCCCTGGTAGCCTACATTTACATTTGCAGGAAAAGAGATGAGACTGAGGACGGAGTAGGGAGAGACCTTTCGAGGCAAACACATGCCTGTGCAAAGAGCCCAGGGTAAGAAAACCTCTGGGATACTGGGGGAACAGCACGCCAGTGCAGCAGGTGTGTAGAAAGAAAAGAGAGGAATAGAGACTGGAGTCAGAGTGAAGGTGGGGAGGGGCTGTATCTGTGATCACTTTCACCCATTTAAAAAATGAAATAAAAGAAGTGTCACCAGCAAGTCTTAACCGGCCGTCAGCCCAGTAGGTGTGGAAGGGCTGGGTAAGGCTGCCTTGCCTGTAGCTGACCTCATGTTGCCAGCATTTATGGAGTGTGTCCCCAGAGCAGGCACTTCTCCAGGACAAATCATCACCCTTCCCTTCTGCGCATATTTGGTGTCAAAGATAAGGCCAGGACAGCCCTGTTTCACAGAATTTATCACAGACATACACAGAAAAATATGCATTGGTTTCTTCCCAACGAGAATACATCATCACCTCGATGAGAAAGAGATTGATGAAAAAGAAACAAATGGTAAAACCATAAATCCTGAATGTTATTTGTCCACTGTTTATTAAGGGAGGCCACTTCCCAGAATCCTGCTTGTCTGAAAAATTAGAAAACTCTAACAATCACCAGAAGTGGTCTTATCTCTCTTAGGTATCCTGACTTCCTTCTGTGTCTTTGACTGATTGGACTCCATCAGACATCAGGAGAAAGTGTATGTGTGGGGCTCAGGCTGTGGCTCTCTTCTCTTTGTAGATCTGTGAGTGCTTTTTGCCAATTGCTTGTTGCACACAGATGTCAAAGGAGAGCAGCTTACCCGCTCAGCCCCACTCATTCATTCTCTTTTTAAAGGCCTCATGAGCTCTGGGAATGAAGGGATTTTTCTCTGCCTTATCCTCACCTGTAAAATGTCAGCACATGAATGAAACTATGGTATCAGCTGTGGTTCCAGGAATAAAAGAGACACCAGCACAGAAAAAGGGTGAGTGAATTTACATAGGAAATGTGGGGTTTATATTCTAGTAGGAAGACAGACGTAAATAAACAGATATGAAACACTGGGTGCAAGTCCTGTGAGAGCAGGTGGGCAGAAGAGGCAGTGCAAGGCAGCGCACAGGCTGGAGGACCACAGTGCTCGAGAGAGGACGTGTGAGGAAGGTGGGCTTTCTAAATCTTCCCAGGCAGGGCAGATAATAGCCACGGCTCCAAGCCCGGGAGCAAAAGTGAGGACACCGGGACCCAGCCAGCCAGCTGGGTGAGAGCAGAGGCCATCAGCGGAGAGGCACAGATGAGCTGCTGTTAGCTGAGCAAAGCTCCCAGTCCAACCTAAGCAAGACAGAGGAAGCCACGGCGGCACTGAGGGGGTCATCACGGCTGGCCATTCTGCAGTGAGGACAGACGAGATCGCGCTGGAGGTGACTACAGTAATCCAGGCCTAAGAAAGAGTGGCGAATGCGTGTCTCAGACAGACTCAGGCCTGGAGGAGACCCGGGGCTAACCTGCCTCCCCCTCTTCCCCTCCTCTCTTTAGGGAAGGACCCTCTCCTTCACACTGTGAAAGAGGAAAACAGGCAAGGCCGCCAGCTGACCTCAAATAGGATATTTTCATAGCACACGTTTTCATGAGTCCAACTCAACAACATCCTTCAACATCTCCAACTTAAGAGCTTTCCTACTTTAAATCCTTGGAAAGCCTGGGTAAGAAATGCCTGCCTTCTGAGCTTTCCAGGCAAAGTTGTAGCTTAATTCCAGAACAGGGCAAAAAGTGGTTGTAAGCAAGTCTCATGCGACTCATTAAACACCTGCATGAGATGTTGGATTGAGCTGCATGTTACCCATTTTATTTAGCGAAATACGAGCATACCCAAGGTAAGTGGACCGCACTTGTTAGGAAGAGCTGGAAGGCTGTTACCCTGGCTCAGGGAAGCCTTTATAAATAACCTCACGTTAACGAGAAAATCTGAGCCTCCATAATTGCACGTTCTCAGAGTTTAAGATGTCCAGTCCCAGAAATCTGCAAGTGGCTATTCTCTGGACAAGCACAGCTTCCCCTTTTGCATCGTGCTCTGCTGGAGAAGGGCTGTGCCCTTTCGGCCTGGGCCTCTCCAGGCTCCTCTCCTGCCACTAATCCCACGGAGAGACTTTCATGGGTAAAGCCTTCAATGAAAAACTCTCCTCCTTCCTTTCCTGCCACGTGATGATTATAAAGAGCAACTTCTCATCTTAAAAGCATGTGGCTCCAAACACACGGCAAACCGAGCAGACTGTCCTGGGTAGACTGTCGCTCTGTGTGGTGACAGACTGTGGAGACAGAACTCTGAAACTGGCCAGAGGCTCATGACTCACTGTGACCAGGGCAAAGGGCCCTTTGTATTGCCATGTTATCCTGTGGAGTTCTTCCTTTCAGACAAACCTGTTAACATGTTCTTGCAGGACTATCTCTTCTGGAACTCTGTGCTGCCTGATAGAATTGTCCCCTGCCGCACAACAGGACAATCATGCAGGTACTATTGATGTTTCACAGCCACCTGGCAGTGAGATACATGAAGTACAGCCTTGTTGTGATTGTGTTAAACATGACTTTACCTGAATATATTAAATTAAAAGTAGAGAAAGAGGTGAGTGTAGCTTACCTTAGGGATGGCTAGGTACATGACATAAGAAAAACAGCAACCAATTCAGCTAGCTTTCCTCAGAAAACAAAATTACCACAAGATCATGAGAGCAGACATAACCTTTAATTTCAGTTATCTTTAAGAAGTCTATTTCTCCTAAATCACAATTTTTATAATTGGTAAAAGGTTATGAGGTTTTATGGTCTTCAGATAAGATCTTAGTAATTTGTTGTATTCCACAAATTTCAAGGTGCTTGTCCATGACTTCAGTACATCTCATGACAAACCCTTAATGGCCCTTAGTGTTGCAGGCAGCTGAGTTAGATAAAAATATTATAGGCAGTAAGACAGGGCTGGGCCCTCAAAGGTCCCAGTGCAGAAGGCCAGATACCTTACAGCTGTTGGGGAGACAGACAACTCTGCTGTGGGCCAGACCTCAAAATAAAAGATAAATCAAATGCACCCACATACTTCCTAAGGATAAATGTCAGAAACTGATACTCTAAATAGGTCTCTATCACCCTGAGGAAGCCAGGCGGCTCCATCTCAACCCCCTACAGGAAGCACCACTGCTCTTTAAGCATGCCTGCTTGCTATGTGATTTGCTTCCCTTTTTGTTCCTGATTTAATCAATCTTACCTGGGCAGTTAATCTTATTGGTTGACAATAGTTCTGTTCCACCTCATGCCCACATGTGAGTTCCTATGTTTTCCCCACCTGAGACCTGCCTTACTTTGTGGTTTTGCTCTATGAAAGTCCCTAGAAAAGACAGAGTCTTTGGCAACCACCGAGGACCCCTTCTGTCTCTCTCAGATAGAAGCTTTCTTTCTGTCAATAAATATTTCTGCTCTTAATCTCTGTTGTTCCTAAAATTCATTCTTCGATTTTAGAGAACACAAACTTATATCAGACATCTATCTAACCGGTTGAGGAGTTTCGTTCCCCTTATCATTAGGATTAAAAAATTGATCCCAAAGCATGAAAGGAAAAATGAGTTAAAGACAGGGTAAAAGGTATCACAGAGCCCACATAGCACACAAGGGTCAGCACTCAGGGCTCTGTCAGAGTCTTCTCCATATTCACCCCAGAAGTGTAAACCAGGACACACAGTCCCTGGCCTTCAGTGAGTTCACCTGATGTGTGTGCTCTCAAAAACCAAAAGTTTTTAGAAGTAAAACTCATATTTGAAAATCTAAAATTTATCAGTTCCCATGACATCCACACTAAAAAGTAACAAACAGGAGAAATTAATTTTAAAATTTAATTAATATTTCAGGTATTAATAAGACATTTTACATTTTTCATGCTAAAATTGCAAAATTGGGTATGTATTTTACAGTTTATTGAGATGCCAGATTTTGATCCAAAGTACTTTACTTGTATTTAGATTTCCTAAAGCTTAGAGGTGAAAAAGTAGATCACCATCACCATCGCTACCTCATTCCAGGCATCCTTTAAAGTTTTCCCAGTGACTGAGCTGAGAATGATTATTGAAGCCACAGTTTTGTAAAATTAAAACTCGCCCTCCTCAATGATATAAGCCACAGGTCAGAGGCTCCAGTCACCTGCAGCTGGCAGCTCTGCAGTGGGGGCCAGAGCGACGAGGGCAGCTGCACAGGGCACTGCTGCTGGGGCATCTCCCAGAGAAGATGTCCCCTTTTACCTCAAATTCATCATGCTTCTCAACATTTTTACAATAATTAGTATGCTTCTTAAATTTTCTCTTATGATGTTTTCTTATAAACTTTAAAGTCACTCAGATTTAATACATCAGTGTTCCCTATTGGATTATGAAGCAGCTTGTATGTAAGTAAATTCCAAAATTTCTAGTCAGTTGCATATCTTTCTTTAGTGCAGATTCTACACAGCGTTAAATCCCCAATGGGCCCGGCGACGGGAAATATTTCAAATTATTTCCTAACATGAATAAGTCCTGAAAATCAAAAAATGGAAAATCTTCTTTGCCTGTGCATTAGAAATAGCTCTCAATTTACTCATGACCTGATCCTGATTGTGATTTGCATTTAAAGACTGGATGCCATCCCACTGAAGTACTGGACCTAGGACAATCGTGATGGTCTTTCTTATTTAACATACATCTGTGTGACTCTCGAAATTACAAAACCCACTGAACAAAATAGATGCCAAAATCTTTACCACAGGTGAGTAGTTAATTACCCTTTGTATAAACTCCTGCAATACTCCAGTGTTGGAGCTGAGTAAGGCGGAACAAAGGAGCCCTGGACATGGCGTGCTTCTCCCTTACATCTTGGCTTTCAGCTTTTTGCTTTGTTTCTGCAGCTCCATTTTTGCAATTGCTGAGAGGTGGACTTCATCAGGCCCATCTGCTAAGCGCAGAGTTCGTGTTAGGGCATACCTGGGAAAAAAGCAAACAGGGATTGTGGAAATTGTCAAGGAGGAACATGATGTTTTATTGTGTTAATTCTAAACCTGACAAGACTGATCCCACCAAGACACTAAAGAGTATAAGGAAGATCAAGGAGGAAAGATAAAGGGCTTCCACGGTGCCATTTTAAGGTTTCCAACTTGGGAGTTTAAAGATGGTTTGCGAGAGGTGACTAACCCTAACCTTCTCCTCCACAAAGAACCAGTAATGTAGGGACATAAAGCCGCAGTTTGAGATGAGCAACCAGAGAGTGCTGGAAATCAGCAAGAGACTGGACACTCGGAGGATTAAGAGATTGAGATGAGAGCACTGAAGAGAGATAAAACACCCTACTGCGCAGAGGAGGGGAGCCTCTTCTCTGCAGAAGTGAAAGCGAAAGGAACCACCCTTGCAAACTCTACCAGGGTGCAATTGGCATTCCCCACTAACTACTGGAGGGTTCTATAAGCCTCACAGGTTCATAGCCCATTAGGTAAGTAACTTGAAGTCTATGTAGACTTGCTTTGGAAAAGATCTCACATTATCTACTAGAGAAACTCCAGGCTTCCGTAGCCAGGACGCATCTTGAGAAGGAAGCTCTTGTCAGGATTTGAACTGCTCTGGAGCTCGGAAACCCCTGCACATCCACATCTGTGGGCCTCTACTGCTCTGGCTTTGGGGATAGTGGCCTTGCAAACCCAACTTAGTCCAGCAGAATGACTGTGTTCCGACCCCACCTGGGGACCTACATATTGTTAGGCAGACAGTTGACAAGACAGAGATGAAGAGCCAGGAGACCTGACCACTCACCTGCTGAGAACAAGGCTATTAGCATATGGCCTCGGCATGAGCCAGAACCGGAGGCAGGAGCCCCACAGTGCCCTTGCCCTTCCCTCCACACCACACTCAGGCTTCTCTTCCTGATGGGGCAGATTATTAAGAAGGAGCACAAAAGACCTCTCAAGTCAAGTAAAACCTGAGGAAATGCACGACCATCAGATCAGCCTTGCAAAAAGATGTTTATAGCACTGCTACACCCAGAGGTGAAAGATAGCTACCATCTCTGCAAAGTATACAATCAATCCAGAAGAACAGATACACAAAACAGAAATGGAAAAAAATCTAGCTTTTCAACACCATAAACCATCAGCTACAAAAATGAGTGAGAGGAAGAACAAAGAACATTCAAAACAATTAGAAGGAAATCAGTAGTTATAGGAATATGCCCTACTAAAATTGAAGAAAGAGGGTATAAAAACATGAATAAACTAATGTTTATTCATTACTAATGACTCAGCTCAGTAATGAGCCTGAGTCATTAATAATAGTTTGTGGGATGGTGGGATAGTTAAGTAGTACAGTGCTCGCCTAGTGTATGTGAAGCTTTGGGTTCCCTTACTAGTATCTGTGCACTCCCCCTCCCCCTACACAGTTTCCCAACAAAGAAACACCCCAAGACTCACTAGTGAATTTTACCAATTGTGTTTTTTTTGTTTTGTTTTGTTTTTGTTTTGTCTTTTTCCTTTTTACCGGTACCGAGGATCGAACTCACGACTGCCTGCTTGCAAGGCAGGCGCTTATGCCGCTGAGCTAAATCCCCAGCCCCACCAATTGTGTTTTGTTGTTGTTTTTGGTACTTGGAATTTAATTCAGAACCTTACACTTGCAGGCAGGCACTGCACCCCTGAGCTCTATCCCTAGCCCCAATTTTACCAATTGTGTAAAGAGGAAATACTGCTATTTTTTCTCAAACTATTCCAAAGTCATTCTATTGAGGTCAGCATTATACTTTCACCAAAATGGAGACCGATACAACAAAAAAATATAAATCAATATCCTTGATGACCACACATGCAACAAAATACTGAAAATAAAAGTCAACAGGACACCTAAATATCATCTACCATGATCAAGTTAGCTTCATTCTAGGATTGCAAGGTTGATTCAACATATGCAAATCAATGAACATAATACAGCAGGTGAACAGAATGATAAATAATATCATCTAAACAAACATAGAAAAAGCATTTGATAAAATTCAATAACTAAAGTCCCTGAACAAATTAGGTATAAAAGAATCAAACCTTTATTTTACCTCAGCATAATAAAGGTTACATATGACAAATCCACAACTAGCATCATACTAAATAGAAAAAAATGGATCAGGGATTTAGCTAGCAGCGTAAGCACCTGCCTAGCAAGCGCAAGGTTGTGAGTTCAATCCCCAGTATCAAAAGAAATAATTAGGAAAAAGTCAAAGGTATTTCCTCTAAGAACAGAAATGGGATCAGCATGTCCACAGTCACGAGACTTTTTTTTTTTCTTGGTACCAGGGATCAAACTCATGACCTCATGCTCGCCATTATTCCCATGTAACATATTTCTAGGACTTTTAGCCAAAGTAGTTAGGAATGACAATGACATAAAATGCATATAAAAAGAAAGGGAGGAAGTCACATTTATCTTTTTTAGCAGATGAAATGGATATGTACATAGAAAAATGGATAGATTCTCCCCTAAAATCTATTACAACTGATACCCAAATTTGGTAAAGTAGAAGAATATAAAATTTATATGCCAATGATTAGTTTCCTCAGTAAAATATAATCAAAGCCACACCCTGCACAATAACTACAAAAATGTGCAAATAAATTTAGCCAAGGAAATGAAAAAGATCTCTACAATAAAAAAATTACAAAGGGTGATGAAAAATATTAAAGAGAACAAAAATATGGAAAGACTTATCATGTTCATAGACTGGAAAAATAAGTATTGTTAAAATGTCCACACAATCCAAAGCAATCCACAAATGCAATGTAATTCTATCAAAATACCAATGATGTTCTTCACAGAACTACAGAAAATAAGCCTGCAATATATATGGATATATGAAAGACCCCAACTAGCCAAAGCCATTTCAAGCAAAAAGAACAAAGCTAGAGGCACCATAGTATCTGGTTTCATGACATACTCCAGAGCCACAGTAACACAGCCAGCATGATGTTGGAATATAAACAGATACGCACACCAATGAAACTCAACAGAGACCCCAGAAATAAATGCAGTATCCACAGCCAATTGATTCTCAACAAAGGGAAAAAAGTACACACTGAAGAAAAGATAGCTTCTGTGAGAAACGCTGCTGAGAAAACCAGGTATCTACATGCAGAAGAATGAAAGTAGACCCCTGTTATCTCTCACTATGTACAAAAGTCAAAACCAGGTCAAAAATTTAACTGCAAAACCAGAAACGTTAGAAAATCAAAGGTAAACAACTCGAGATACTGGTACATGCAATGATTGTCTGGATAGAGCTCCAATAGTACAGGAAACAAAACCCGAAACTGACAAGTGGGATTACACCTGAAAAGCACTGTACATAGAAAGAAACACACGGCAGAGGAAAGACACAAACAGCATGGGAGAAGGTATCTGCCAATTCTGGTCACCTGTTAATATCCAGTATAGAGAACTCAAAAATTTAACAACAAAAAACAAAGTAACCTAATTAAAAATGGGTCATCTTAGTATATACTTCTCAAAAAAGAAATAATGATAGCCAACAAATTTATGAAAAAAATAATATCGTTAGCGATCAGGAAAATACAAATCAAGATGAAAATTACAATGAGATGCCATCCCATTCCAGTTAGGATGGTTACCAGAAAGAAGAAAAAATGTAACAACTACTGGCAAGTGTATCAAGAAAAAGGAACTCTTATACACTTTTGGTGAGAATACAAATTAGTAGTCATTATAAAGTATGGAGTTTCTCCAAAATAGGTCTAGCATGTGTTCTATTTTCCACTTCTGTGTAAAGACCCAAAAACAATGAAAGTGGCACTCCAGAGAGAAGCCTGCACGTCCATGTCTATGAACATTACTCCCAATGCTGGGTTATTACTCAGCCATAAAGAAGGAAGTCCTATCATTTGTAGCAAAGTGAATGGAAATGGCAGATATCATATTAAGTTAAAATAAGACAGACACAGGAAGACATATACCACATATTCTCTCTCATTTTTGGCAACAGGTTTGCCTGAAAGTAGAATCCTGCTTAACAGGGATTAGGAAGAGGACAGGGGAAAAAGATAGAAAATGTGTGGTTGGATATGACCAGTGCATGCTGTAGGCATGCATGGAAACACCACACCAAACTCCATGAAGATGTGCAAGTGATGTGAGTTACTAGTAAAGTGAAGTCGTAACTTGAGAAGCAGAATCTTAAATGGCAAGGTATGGAGGGATTTGCTATATGTTGCCAGGAGTTGCTATAAGGAAGGTATTTTAGGGAAGGCACAGGCAGCAAATGGCATGACACCGTGTATTCAGTTCTTCACGGTGAGAAATGGATGGGGTACACCACTGTGTCTCCCTGTTGTAAGGGACAGGTGGCGTCATGACTGTGTGTGTAGATAGAGAGCTGGGAATATGCAAATGTCCCTTGTCTCCTAGTGATCACAACTGGGACACAGGGTGGTCACAGCATGCACTGGTGTGCTGCCCCCTGGGGGTGGCACACGGTCCTAGTGAACACATGCTGGCTCTGGGCTCCTCTCTCCTCTCCCTGTTTCTGGGTGACTCCACACTGTGTGTGCAGGAACCCTCAGCGGGTTGCCTTAGTGTACCAGTGAGCACAGAGGAGAGAGCCGGTGGCTATGCTCCTCACAGTGACTCCTGGAGCTCAGCTCCACGCACGGTCCCTATATCCTTTCACTCAGCATTCGATCACGTTAGAAAGTCAGTTCTTAGCTTTATTTTCTTCCTCATCAATTAAATGTCAAAGCATCTGTAGATCTTATTTCTCTTTTCATTGATACATCTGTATGCACAGCTACTGTGAAAGGCTGGTACTCACATGTTAGCCAGGGGGTGGTCCTGGGAGACGCCCGCCCCACCGCACACCTGGATGGCCCGGTCAAGGATTGTGCAGGCTGCCCGGGGAGCCGCCACTTTGGTCATTGCAATCTGCATCAACAGAACATGAAAAGAACGTTTCTTTCTTAGGCCATATACAACCTGCCAGCGTTTGATATATATCTATACTCTTTTCTCTGTGAACTGCAACAAGAAAACTTTCCCACACCCAAATCATCACTTCACAGCCAACAATCTGTTGAGATGCAGTTCATGGCTATATTTCAGTCGGTACAGACTTTTAAAAAAGGGATATCCCTTCCAAATAACATTTCATTCTTTTATTTGTAACTTGTCTTTTTTCCAAAAGGATTACAGACAGTTCACAGGTCACACTCATCACATTCAGGGTCATAAAAACAGTGTAAGGGCCTCTGTTCCATTAAACAGCTTGTCTTAGTGATTTTATGTGTTTTTTAATGATCAATTTTTTAAAATGAAAGATTAGGTCCTTAATCCATGTAAACCAGAACATAAGAAGGCAGAGAAGATCAGTAGCCTTTCATAAAATATTTATGCATGGCAGAATCATCCTTTGCATTTAGGCTACTCTTCAGGAGAACTCCAGAACCAGGGTGGAAGGGTCAATACTCTGCCCACAGGGTCTAAAGCCAGCAAAAAGTGGGGTAGTAATTACTATCAATGCTAGCCTCATGCAGAGCCTAAATTTCCCCACTCCTTGCTGCAGCTCAAGAGTGCTGAAGATATCCTGCATTCCAAAATTCACTTCCTAAAGTAGCACAGTAAAAGGACAGTTAGCAAGTCTGTGTGTGTGTGTGTGATACTAGAGGCTGAATACAGAGCCTATTGCATACTAGGAATGAGCTACTTTTCAGCCCTTTTTCTTTCTTTTTAAACTACTTATAAGTCTCATTCTGTTTTAATTTTAATTTTTATGTGTACATGTTTGTAGTATATAATGGTAGCATTGAATGTGGGGAGTTGGTACATCTTTATTTTTTATTTTGAGACAGAGTCTGACTTAGTTGCTCAGGCTGGCCTTGAACTTGTGATCTTCCTGCTTCAGTCTCTGAGTAGCCGTCCTTACAGCCATGCATCCCCATGCCTGGCTCATTTGTGGTCTTTCAACCAATCTCACAGGAGGGCTTGTAATATTCTCAGTGCCTTCCAGGGGCCATGAAACCCTCAATGCCCGAAGGGTGGGAGAAACTGAAGAGGGCTCTGCAACTGATGGTTCAGAGACGCCTCACCTCTTTCCTAGCAGCCGCACTGCCCAGAGTGTCTATGCTGTGGGCAGCTTTCAAGGTTAACAAGCGGATCTCCTCAATGGCAATGCGACTCTCGGCAATCCAGTGGGCCACGACCTCCTGTATAGGGACAAAGGGAAGAAGGGATGAGCTGGGATCCGCCATCCAATTGTAATGTGGCCTCATGGACTGGTGAACACAATTGCGAACATAACCACTGTTCATAAGCCCTTCTCTATATATTTTCAAATAAACAAGTTGATTTGTACCAGCGTAGCCACTGTGGAATATTATGGTTAGAACTGAAACATTTGAAAAAGAAACTGTATTGGTTCAGAAAGATAATTTATCTGTGTGCCTTACTGTCCAAAGTCAAGATTGCTGAACTGAGCAAGTGTCCTATTGCCAAATTGCTCATCAGCCCTCCTGAATGCTATGTTACCTGGCAGGATGGAGGCAGCAAGGGCACTGGTTATAATTAGACTGCAAACTTCCAGGCACAATGGCCGAGTGGGGATGGTCCGGGAGCCCTGCACTGTGATATTGATTTATATGATTTATCTTTTTTATCTGGTGGAGAGTTTTATGAATGTACCACATGTAGATTAATACAGCCACAAATGGGATCTAGAATAGTTCTTTTTCTGTGGGTGAGTATCAGGAATTGAACTCAGGACCTCCACACTTGCCTGGTACTACAGAGCTAAATCTCCAGCCCCAGAATAGTTCTGTCCCCCCAAAACCTCCCTGGTGCTGCACCATTTGGGTCATGCCCTCCACTCCATCTAACCTCTGGCAACTACTGATAGGTTCTTCATTGCTACAGTTTTGCATTTTCCAGAATGTCACATAAATGGAATCATCTAAGCACTGCTTCTCCCGAGACTGGCTTCATTCATTGAGCTCAACGCCTCCAAGTTACACCCAAAGTGCTCTGTGTACAAGTCCATTCTTTGCGTTGCTAAGCAGAATTCCACCCAGGGATGCATCTTACTTTGTTTATCCATTCACTTGGGTTGTTTCCAGTTTTGGATTATGAACAGAATGCTGTAAACATTTGTACACAGTTTTTTGTATGGATATACATTTTGAGTTTCAAAAACAGATACTAGGCATGGAATCATTTGGTCAGTGATAAATATTTACAGTGTGTTATCATTTTGTCAAGCTGACTGTATCACTTGGAATTCAAACCAATAGTATATGAGAGTTCCACTTTTTCCCCAAATCACTGCCACATTTTCAGTAGTTTTAAAATAGGGCTTTAGTCATCGTAACAACATGCAGACTGTAGTTTTAATTTGCACTGCCCTAATGGCTAACACCGGTGATTCTCTTTTGATGTGTTTGCTATTTTTATATCCTTTGTGATGACTCGTCTATTCAAGTTTAGAAAAAAATGCATTTTAAATATGATAGAGATATGGTGAAAGTAAAATAAGAACAAAGTATGCAAACACGAGTGAAATAGAAATCAGAGCAAAGGAAAATCAGATGGTCGCTATATTAATGATAAAAAGGTTCATTTATCAAGAAAACACAATTCTAAATGTGTGTTCAGCAAACAGCACAATGGCTGAAAAAAAAACTGATAGAACTAAAAGGAGAAGCAGACACAGCTACAGTACTTGGAGACTTCAGTGTCCCTCTTTCTCAACAACTCACAGAACAACCAAGCAGAAATCCAGCTTGTAGCACGGGGACTTGGTGCCGCCGTCAGCCAACGGGAGCTAGCAGGCATGTACAGGACACCCAACAACAGCTGAATATACATTGTTTTCAAGAACCCATATGACATATAGTAAGAGAAACCATGTCCTGGCTGTAAAACAAATCTCAACAAATATAAAAAGCTGAAATAATGCAGAGTTTGTTTTGTGAACACACTAAAGTCAAATTAGAAATTGGTAACAGGAAGAAAATAGGAAAACCAAATCATTCAGAAATTAAGAGAGATACTTCTCAATAATCCATGGATCAAAAAAGGACTCTCAAGAGAAATTAAAAATACAAGGAATTTAATGAAAATAAAACTAGAACATATCAAAATCTGTGAAATAGTTCTGGTAGGGAAATTTATGGCACTAAAACCCATACAATGGATAAGAGGGGAAATATCTCAAAAAACTATGTGATTGCCTCAAGAACTTAGAACAGTAAAATACCCCCAAACAAAAGGAAATAATAAATAGCAAAGATAAGTAAAACCGACAAAAAAATCAAGGAGACAGTGAAAAAAAGACCTTGATAATAGAACATTTGAGTGACTAAACCCAACTGATGCTCAGACAAAATGAATACTCTAACAAACAAGCCACCATAGCTCACCCAATATAAAATATTAAGGAAACTGATTTTAAAATTTGTCATCCTTCTCTGTCTCTCAAATCGACTAGTCCAAACAGTATCACAGGAGAAGTCTATCAAATCTGCAAAGAAAAATCAACATCAATTCTAGACAGTCTTTTCCAGAAACTGAAAGCATGAACACTCTCCAAATCATTTTATGAAGCTGATATTATCCTAGTGTTAGAACCATATAAACCATGAAAAAGGAGAATACAGATCAATATACCTCACTGATACAGATGGAAAAGTCCTTAACTAAGTACCAGCAAACAGCACTATAATGGTTACCAGAGGCTGGGGAAGAGTAGGGAAGAGGCAGGGAGGGATGGTGAGTTGTTAGGTGCTGAGCTACACTTCAACAGGAGACAAAACTTCTGGTGCTCCATTGCACAGTGGACTACTACAGATAACACTGTGTATTTCCAAATAAAAGCTAGAAGAAAGGATTTTTAAAGCTTTTACTCCAAAGAAGTGCTAAATGTTTGAGGAGACAGATACGGTTGCTGTACCTCGATTTGACCATTACACAATGTATGCATTTATAAAAATATTTATGGTTCCTCATAAATATAATTTTCATATGTCAAAAATATTAGCGCACAATTCAGAAATACATAAAAAGAATTATGACAAAGTGGAATTTTTCCAAGAATGCAAAGCTGGTTCAACATCTGAAAATCAATCAATACATTCCACCAAATTAACACGTCAGAGATAATAACCACATGATCATATAATTTGATGCACAGAACCATCTGCCGTGTTATTAAATATCATAATAAAAAAGTCTCAGAACATTAATTGTACCGAGGAACTGAATTTGATAAAGAACATCTATCAAAAGCCTATAGCTAACATTATGCTTAACAGTCTCTTAAGTTTGTGAACAAGGTAAATATATTAGCCTTCACTATTCTTATTCAATAAAAGGCAAGTCAAGAAAATAAAAGGCATATGGCTGGGGATTTAAGTGCCTGCTTTGCAAGTGAGAGGTCATGAGTTCCATCCCCAGTACCAAAAAAAAAAGAAAAGGCATAGGTAATAGGAAGGAAAAAATAAAACCATCCCTTATTTGTAAACATCATGACTATCTATGTAAAATATCAAGTGATCTACAAAACCTCCTAGAAAGAATAAATGAGTTCAGCAGGATCACAGGAGACAAGATAAATATATAAAAATCAACTGAACTTATAAATACTAGTTAAAAACAAATGGACACTGAAATTAAAAATATAATGCCATTGATAATTGCTCAAAATATTGATGTGTAAATAAAGTCAGGATTTACTTAACTATGAAATGCACTATAAGAAATGTGTTATGTGATTTTGTTGGTATGTGAATATCAAAGTGGGTATTTATACAAACTAAAACAGCTGTGATGCCACTAAGCCATATAATCAGAGGACCACCATCATATAAGCAGTACATCACTGATCAACACGTAGTCATGTGGCTCATGGCTGTATAGTAAGACGTGCAGGATATATACACTGGAGCTCCACACATGTGACAGAAGTCAGTGGCAAAGTGTACTGCACCTCGTTTACAGGACAGGAAACTCACTCCAGATAGGATACCGATTCTCCCTACAATGATGTGCAGGTTTACCATAATTCCTATTAAAATCCTAGCAAGATTTTTTGCAGATATAAACAAGACAATTCTAAAAGATTATATGGAAAAGCAAAGAACTAAAATAGCTATGGGAAGAATAAAATAGAATCATTGTAGCTTATCCTAAGACTAGTTATATGACTGTATGAGGGGTAAGCAAGACTGCTGGCAGACAGACACATAATTAGGACATCATGGAGAACCAAAAATAGATGTAAGACCACTCAGTGAAGGAAAAATATCCTTTTCAACACAATTGGACATCTATAGGAAAAACAAAACAAAAACAAAAAACCTTGACCTGAATCCTATGCATTATACACAAATTAACTCAAAACGTGCCACACACTGAAATGTACAATGTAAAGTGTAAGAATTATAGGAGAAAATCATTAAGGTAAGGCAGAGTTCTTAGAGTTAATGCTAAAGCATGATCCATAAAAGCAAAAACGAAAGACAAATTCATTTTTCTCTTTTCATTAAAGTTACACACTTTGCTATGTAAATAACCCTATAATAAGGATGAAAAGACAAGCCTAGGTTGGGAAAAATATCTGTAAATTCTGTATCTGATGAAGTATAGTATTCAGAAAATATAAAAATCCCTCAAAAGTCAACAGTATAAAACCAAATTATACACTTAGAACATGGGCATAAAACATGAGCCCAAGAGGACATTAAGATGGAAAATAACCTCAAGAAAGACGTTATGATCAGTCATTAGGACAATGTAAATTAAAGCCACTTGAGATGTCACTACAAACCAATCAGGATGACTAAAAAAATAATGTAAAACACCATATGCTCACATCAGATGGGGAGAAACTGGACTATTTATATACAGTTGGTGAGAGTGCAATAGAGAAAAGACTGTCAATTTCTTTAAAAAATTAAACATGCACTGATACATATGATCCAGTAATTACTCTCTTGAGAATGTATCTCAGAGATATGAAGTCTTATATTCACATAAATAGCCACAAAAATGTTTATAGCAGATTTATTTTGTAGTGTCACCAAACTGTAAACAATGTACATGTCCCTCAAGGTAAACAGTCAAATAAATTATAGAACGTCCATACTGGGCATGCTACCAGACAGTAAAGAGGAACCAGCTGTTGATACACATAATCGAGCTGAGGCTTCAAAGAAGAGTGTAGGGTTTAAAAAGCCAACCCCGAGTACTTACGTATAGTATGATTCCATTCTTGCAATGACAAAATTATGAAAAAGAAGATTTTAGTGACTGCCAAGAGGTAAGGAGGAGGTGGGTGAGACAGCAGAGTAGGTGGTGATGGAAGCGTTCTGCATCCTAGCTGTCTCCATGACAACACTGGTTCTGATGCTTACTACAGTCTTGCAAGATGGTATTATTGGGGGAAACTATGAAAAGGCTTGAGAGATTTCTGGGTTATTTCTCATAACAAGCATGTGTATCTGTAATTATGTCAAGGTAGAAGGTTTAAAAAAACCCTGATACTTCTTTCTCATTTAGATAGTGAACACTCTGAGTTGTCTCCTGTTTGCACAATTTAGAAGTGAGATACTGTTCGAGGAATATGGAAAGCAAACCTCACAAATAAAAACTCATTCACAACTCAGCACTGAAACCTACGCGACATACTGAATACTTCTGCTTTGCCAAAATGGGCTTTTTTGGCTCCAATTTTTAAACAGAATTACTTAAAATGAAGAATGCTGTCTGTTAGATAAATTAGGCTGGCAGAACACTACAGAGCTCTGATTCAAGCCATAGTAACCTTGGCCAGTTGTTTTCATGCTTAATTTTATTTGCTCTTGGACATTTTTCAACAGAGGATTTTGGTTAGGGTTTCAGAGCAGCAGTGATGTTCAATATGACAATCACATGTGACTACCAAGCATTGGAAGTATTCCAGTCTGAAATGAACTGTTAGAGTGTAAATTATATGCCAGATTTTAAAGAACTGGCACAAAAAGATCTCATCAGTAACATTTTTATATGAATTTCACACTGAAATGATCACATTTTGAGTACTGGTATCTTGGTTTAGGAATTTAACTTGGGGAAGGTTGTGTTTGTGTAGGGAAGATGACCATGGTCACGTTTGTTACCCCTGCGGAGTTCGTGAACAGAAGCTAAATGTTGTTGAACACTTTTGTTTGTGAACAAACTTGTTTGCAAATAGAAGTGTTCATGAACTGAGATATTATAGTGTTGAGTTAAATAAAAATTTGAAATTAATTTGAAATTTCTTTTTAAAAAATGTTGTGCTAGCAGGAGGTTTAAAGTTACATCCGTGCTCGGTGTGTGTTTGTGCTGGACGGCACTGCCTTAAGGTTGAAGACTGGCTGTAAGTCAGCAATTTCAAACACACTGCTGGCACCCAGTGAGGACTTTTCGATGGATACAAAATCAGGTAATTAAAACTTCCTGAACAGACTCTAAACGCATCTACTTCTTAACTACAGAACAAAGAACATTCTCAGCTGCGTCTCTACAGACCCTCAATTCTATAAAGCCTTAAGTGGGTAGAAACTGAGCACTCAGGAAACTGCCAAATTCATTTACTAAGACTGAAATTTATGCTTTAGGGTCTGTAGTAATTTAGCAGACTGCCAGAAGGAGTCTCCAAATTCAGGAAGATGGAATGCTGAAGTCACAAACTAAGGGGAAAAAGCTGGCCTAGCTGGCTGTGCATGACACGCTCACACATCTCTTTTGGCTTCTGCCAGATCATCTTATTTATGCCAGATGTTAAGTTTCCAGTGAAGAGAGGCCCAGCTTTACAAAGCCCAGGAATTGTCTGAAGTATACATTAACTTTAAAGGGTCGGAGAGAAATTTCTCTGCTGCAGCTCTGAAACACTGCTCAGAAACACAGCCCCTGGACAGAGAGCTTTTATGTGTTTAGGCTGCCTGGGTCCCGCTTGCTTGCTGGGTCCTCCCTTACCCTTGCCTGCTCCAGGGCGTACTTGACTGACAGCTTAAAAGACAACAGGAAGCTTAAAAAGACAACAGGAAAGAAGCCACCATCTGATCCATGAACAACTCTTCAGTCAGCAGCAGCCGTTGGGCTTTTGGAGGAAAATTTGGCTTCTTTAAAAGTTGCGTATGATCTGAAAACTCACACTTTCATGCCTCTGTTCCCATAAAGAGCTGAACCCTACTCCTTACCATATACTACAAGGGTTTCCCACAAAATAGTCCCAGATATGGTATCATAAAGCAGGCTGTGTTTTATTCAGAATAGTGTTGCAAATTAACCAATTTTATCCTGAATGAACATAAATACTTCACAAAATATTAGCATTAGCAGGTACTGCTATTATCACTCACACTGAGCATGTAATATTTCAGAAGAAGCAAACATAGCCTATAAGAATTCAATTTACAAAACATATACTGCAAAAAAAATTTTTTTTTGGAGTCAGGGTTTTGCCAAGTCACTAAGTTACAGAGTCTGGATTTTAACTTGGAATCCTCTTGCCTCAGCCACCCAGAGTGGTGGAATTACAAGTGTGTGCTACCACACCTGTTTTGCAAAATTTTACCAGAAGGTCATAAATGTATCTTACAGGAGATCAGTGTGCTAAAATATACTTTTCCTGAAAACACAAATACAATTCTGTCAACACAAGCTTTACTTAATAATAGTTGTTCTTGCTTTCTTAAAAATTAGAAGACCTTTCTAGGGGAGCGATTTGGCTATTCTACTTTTTGTTAAAAAAAAAAATGCTTTCCATGGAAGTCTGGAATGATATCTCCTTTTCCCTGTTGCTATGAATTTAATAATTTGGATTATATTGCCTACATATAACTGTATATATAGCATTTTATAAATAACAGACACAATAAATCTAATTTATAGAATATAAATTTAAAATTTAAAATTTATAGAATAAATTTTAAAAGTTGTGAATGTCACATCAAAGATTGGTTCTATTTTTACATGCATTTCTCTAGTAACAGGAAACTGGGTCTTTTGTTTGTTTTTAAATCTCTCATACAGAATGTTCCTCCTTTCCCAGAGCTTTGGGCTGTTTTCTTATAGCTTCTGCTTAAACTGTCCTGGCTTCTTCCAGAAAAGCAAAGAAGGCAAGTCTCTCTTCCTAGGACAGCCTTTTCCTGCATACAGAGAGCTTTAAGGTACCAGCTGCTCTAGAGAATGAGAGTCCAGGAAACCGAAGCAAATGTCCACATCCGTGTGCTGGAGTGTGGCAGTACCTTGGAGCTACCTGACCTTTCACAAAGATAACTGCTTCTCCTCAGACTACATTAGATGCAGAGGCGACACGGTTTTTAGAGCCCGAAGACCAAACTGCAACTCCAAACCCACTTACTTATCACAAAGTGCCAACACTACAATTAAACTTGAACACTGAGGTTTTAACTTTTAAAAAGCAACTCTAAGGGGTTGGGGGTTTAGCTCAGCGGCATAAGCACCTGCCTTGCAAGCAGGCGGTCGTGAGTTCGATCCCCGGTACCGATCAAAAAGACAAAAAAAAAAAAAAAAAAAAAAAAAAAAAAAAGCAACTCTACAGTAATATCTTTTGTCCTAAAAGAAAAACAATAATACGCAAGACCTAGGTTCACCACCACTACTTGCTGGCACTAATATCTTTGCTCACGGTTAGTACAGGGTCCGGGGTTACAGTGAGTCCCCATAAGCGATCGTCTTACGTGTTCATACAGTTTCTTCCGAAAGGCTTCTCTCTGGGCCGCCCGCTCACACATGATCTGCAGAGCGCGTTCAGCCAGGCCGACGGTCCTCATGCAGTGGTGGATTCTGCCAGGGCCAAGACGGCCTTGGGCAATTTCAAATCCCCTACCCTCACCTGTGCGAGAGAAAGAACAGGACAATGGCCCATTCCTTTTACTACATGTACAAATATCGGAAAGATGCTGAGCTCTTTTCAGTAAAAATGTCTTCTGGTAAGGAAAGAGCCAGTTATCTAGGATTCGTTACTCATTTATGGAAATGTTAATGCTATGCTTTTTTAAGCCGCTGTCATCGAACATTTTGGGCAGATTTAGAAGTGTCTTCAGAGAGCTTAGTGTGTGTAAACTACATTATTAATGCTCTGCTTCTGACTCGGCAGCTATCTCTGCTTAGGGATTAGAAGCCAGGAGGCCCAAGAATAAGGGCTACAACAGAGAGGGACCCAGAAAGGCAAAAGAGGGCCCGTCTGCAAACCCCCTGTAGCTGTAGGGGTTGGCAGGGGTCGGGGGCTTGGCGAGTAGTTGAGGTAAAAAAGACAAAACAAGCCAGATGTGGTGGCTCACGCCTGTAATCTCAGCACTTGGGAGGCTGAGGCAGGAGGATCCTTGGGAGTCTGAGACCAGCCTAGGCTAAAAAGTGAGCTCAAGGTCAGTCTGAACTGCACAGCGGGACCCTGTCTCAAAAAGACGAGAAACAAAACAAAACAGAAAATAAAGACAAAACATTCCTGAAAAGGTGGGATTGGAAAATTTCTTTGAAGATCAGGTGGGAGTGCAATAAAGGAGAGGATAGGATCATTTCAAAAATAGTGTTCAAAATCATTCATTCTTCTGCTTTGTATATAAAACTTGAAGTCAGAAACTATTGAAATTTTCTAAAACTAGTAGAGGCCCACAGATATATGTTAGGAAAAATACGTTGCTCTGAATCAGTTAGCTTTTATATTTAGGTTTTTAAAAATTTTCTTGGATACCAGGCAATGAATTTAGGACCCTGCACTTGCCAGGCAGGCACTTATGTCACCAAGCTATAGCCCAAGCCCCTATTTAGCTATATTTTTAATTGATGTGATACACAAAACCACCTCACAGAGAATAAAACCTTGCCATTCCATGTAACGAAATTCACAGAATGGAAATTTTTCTCTTGATAAATGGAGGAAACAAGAATAGAAAGTATCTAAATTAAAACCGACTGGATATCATTTTCAGATTTAGTCCTGAAACTACTAATAGATAATACCGAAGGATAAATTTTACCAAATTTATCTCACCTAGTATTAAATTTGAAGCGGGAACTCGCACTTGATTAAAATGGACCTCGAAATGTCCTCCATGTAAACAATCTATAAAACAGAAAATAAAATTTTACAGAGACAAATAAGTTGACTAAAGGAATCAAGTATAATCAATCTTCAGGAGCACAATTATTCAACCAAAATAGGACCTAAGAGACCCATATGCCATGACTTTCCTAGGTAGGTCTTAGCCCTGTTCCTATAGTACCCAGCAGTCCTGAAACTTAGCAACCGTTCAAGTTAGGAAAGATTTTATAAATCACTGGATTTAGAGGTTTTCCAACTCATTCTCTGAAATTGTAGAGCTATAGAAGAAGAAGACTGGGTTTCATGGCTCTAATGAGATTATTTTATGGTTTTTCTTTCATTTTTTTTGAGATCCCAAAGGAATTTTTCTTGAGAAAGAAGAGATTCAATGTTTCAAAATACTGAAAGGGAGTTGGATATTCCAGCTTCTTATTTATCATTACGGACTTCAGTTCACCCAGGCGTGTCACCACTTGCCTTGTTCCACCCGTTACCCTTGGAAACGCTGGCGTCTGGGTCCCTGAAGCTGGGAAGCTCTCTCCCTCCTCAGCAAGTTCTAAACATAGCCTCATGCTAACTCCACACCCTTTTCCTGTCGGAATTAATGATCAGACCTCCCCACGGTTTCTTTGGGCCTTGGATACAAGGACTTGGAGAGATGCTGGTGAATTCAAGGCAGCTCTGCAATGGCGCCTGTACTGTGAATTCATTGTGGGTGTCTGTCAGGATGCTTCGCAGCCCGACCACTTGGTATGTGCAATCCACACCAGGGAGTCTCTGTCCTATCTCGGCTCCTCGGCCTGGGGGCACCCCTAACGCTGTATTCACAGACACCCACAGACACTCATTGTACCTACGATGTCAAACATTCCCTAAACTCCAAGTTTTATTCTGCTGTTCAAACACATGCCTCAATCACATCCCACAAAAGAGAGGAAGCCGTGAAGAGAGAAAAAGAACATGAAATTCCACCAGCATTTTCATAGCATGCAGCACCTGTTGATACGCTATGTAATTTACTGACTCACGTTTCTAGTTTTTGTTTATTTCCTTCCTGCAACACATAAGCTACAGGACAAGAATGTTAGTCCACTGATTTTATTAATGTCTTCCAAGGACCTTGAATAGTACTTGGTGCTTCATAAATAAATACGTGCCGAGTGGATGATCAGAATAACATTGGCCCAACAAATAGTTATGTGTGGTAGGTAATGAAAGTAACGGTGCTTCTTAAAAATTATACCCAAGAGGAGGCACGTGTAGTGGCTTACGCCTGTAATCCCAGCACTCAAGAGGCTGAGGCAGGAAGATTGCTGCAAGTTTGAGAGCAGCCTGGGCTGCAAAGTGAGCTCAAGGCCAGCCTGAACTGCCTAGCAAGACTCTCTCACAAAAAAGACAAAAAAAAAAAATTATACCCAAGAGAAGAAGAAAGGAAATGCTTTATACTCAAATAAGATAGAACAACTTACTGTGCAACCGCTCTTAAAGATTAACTGAAAAGTTGAACACAGAAACAAAATTTAATTCTATTGTGGATGGCCTTGACTTACTTCATCTACATCTATTTTATTAATCCATGTTCATAAAAATAGAGAGAAGACAGGTGGTTAGGGTTGCCATTTCTTAAAAAAACAACAAAAAACAACAACAACAAAAAACACTGTTTCCCAAATAGTAAACCCATGGAGGGCGAAGGCGGCTCCTTCCCCTTCCCCAGCCCATCCCAAACAGCACCTGCACCTCAAGTGTTGCCAGGGCCAAAGAGATTCCTAAGAATACATCTCTTACATTAAAATGCTCTCTACTCCCTTCGGTGCCACTGCAGATGCCAGTCTTTTGCATGCCGATGATGGACATTCTTATTTGGCACTTACCCATGTACCCAAAAACGGACAAAGGCCTTATTAATTTTACTCCAGGTGTGTCCATTGGAACCAGAATCATGCTGTGTTGTTTGTGTCTAGTGAAAAGAAAAGGTGGGTAAAGTTTGCTAAGCAGTATAATGAAGCAGATGTTCTGCAGAGCACAAAGGTTCTTCTTGTTGTTAGCATGCAGTCTCACCGACAGCGATAACCAGGATGGGGCTGTGTGAAAGATGCACTTAATAGTTGGGGGCAGGCTGTGGTCTGGAAGGAAATTCAGTGATTTGAAAATAAGCGAAAGTTGTTTGGGGTTTCTCACTGCTCCACAGTGGTAACTAGGAAAGGAGATACTCAAGGCTATTGCCTTTGATCAAAACATCTAATCATTTCAATGTCACAGGAATGAAAAATGTGATATCTAAGCACCCAATCCAAACAGCTTGGTGATTCAGTAACACTCCTAATGCCCGAAATTCTGCAAGGAAGAGTATACAGCAACATTCTCTAAGATGTTTTTAGATCTCTCTTTTAGCAAAGTGTCTGTGATCTCCAAATATTTAATTGCACAGTATATTTCATATTATCATGATTTGTGAGCTCAAGTGTCATAAAGGAATTAAATGGACAAAAAGAAACACTGAACTGTTTCTACACAGATTTCTCAATCAGAATTGTTCTGTTACCTGGACATAGAAGGAATTTCAGTTTTTCCCAAAACAACTGCAATTTTGCATTTGGGATGCCCAGCTCCTAAAAGTGGGGGGAAATGAACAGAGTACATTATAAAAGAAAATTTCTCATTTGCCATTTCACCCAATCCTTCCAAGTTTGTCCCTGGCCAAAAAAAAAGGGGGGGGGGGCAAAACAAATAGGGAAACGAATCTTTGATTCATTAAAACAATAACACTTGTCATACACTACATAGTGTCACCCAAGAAAAACGCTTATGCAAAGATAAGGTTGGAGTCCATCATTGAAAGTCATTACTTGCAAATAACCAATCAAAGCAACACAAAACAGCTGTGACCCTTAAAAAAGATGGCTGTGCTGTTCCTACCATTCAGACTCCAGCAGGCTAGTTAGGCTGTAAAAGATGTCTAATATAACTATGTGCCATATATAAGATATATATATATAAAGAGAGAGAGAGAGAGAGAGAGAGAGAGAGAGAGAGAGAGAGAGAGAGCGCGAGCGAATGCTTTATATGCCCACATATATGAAGGCAGAAGGGCTGGGTTCTCATTTGTTAATTATTAAGGGTCAGAAATTTGACAAAATAAAGTTACTCTCATTTTAATGCAAAGTTTTATTTAATCACATTTCAGGAGTTGTAAGGATTTCTCACTAGAGTCTTTGTGCAAAAAAGTAGATTTCATGTTTACAGTAAGTTTTAAGTACTTGGTCCCTCCAGGAAACTACCATTTAGTTGGTTTTCTCATTACAAAAGCCACAAACAACAGTACAGGACATACTCCAACATTCTCTGTATTTTATCCAACATTCTCTGTATTTTATGACCACCCCATATAATACATGTAAAAGAATCTTTATTAAGAGACATACTGAAATGTATGTTAAGGAAATATGCAATATCTGAATTTACTTAAAATAAGAGTACCACTATAGCTTTCACAGTTTTCAGTCTAACTGGGGTAGAGCATGGAAAAATACAGTATATGTTTACATTTTTAAAACTTGGGCCTGTGGATTTAGCTCAGCAGCATAAGCGCCTGCCTGGCAAGTGTGAGGTTGTAAGTTCGATTCCTAGTACCAAAAAAAAAAAATGTTTTTTAAAATTTTATTACAACAAAAGATACATTGCCACTAATTCCTTTCAGAATACTCCCCTTCACTGTGAACACATTTAGATCATTGTTTTTATCGCTTTCTAAAAAAGTTCTGCGAGGTCCTCTTTCATGTCTTTCGTTGTGTTGTTAAGTCAGCTTCAATAACCTGAATCAGCTGGGCGGTGGTGGTGCACTCCTGGAATCCTAGCACTAGGGAGGCTGAGGCAGGGGATCCCTGCAAGTTTGAGACCAGCCTGGGCTACAAAGTGAGCTCAAGGCCAGCCTGAACTGCACAGTGAGATCCTCTCTCAAAAAGACAAAATAAAACAAAACAACCTGAATCAATTCAAGACGTTTCCTTTCATGGTCATTTTGACTTTGGGGAAGAGCTCCAAGTTGTGCAGTGCCAAAGCCAGGGAATACGGTGGCTGAGGGCACAGCGTATTGGATGAGCCCGCCTTCCTGCTGGGTGACCTCCAAACAGCGTTTACTGAGTGTGTCACACAACACGAAGACACTGACCAAGAGGACGTCTAGAACTGCTTTAAGAAGGTGGCGAGAATGAGGGTAAGAGTGTTCCAAATGAGGACAAATATTTTGAAGAGGATAAATGACAATGTGTCTTTCATTCTGATACTCAAAAAAATTTAAGCACTGTATTTTTGATCACCTCTGATAAATAGAGAAAACTATGTAATGGAAATAATCTAGAATTTCCTAAATAGATTCTGAAAAAGTAAATTTGTACTCTGTTCCAAAGCCCCCTTTTTCTAATACATTAGTTTTTTTCTCTAATATTTTCTAATACTATTTTTGCCCTGTTCTATCATGGAATAACTGTTGCCACATCCTTAAATACATGTACAGCGAATTTCAGATAGCAGGTAAATTTTGAAGAAATTCAAAAACAAGGCAAATGATTCTTTAATTCTGCCTGGCTCAATCTAACATGGAAAATAATTCAGATTTTAAAAAAAGAAACATCTAACTTGGCTCTTTTTTTTATCATTACATAAGGGAATTAATGTTGAAATAATGACATAAAATTCAAAATATTTTTGTTTAACCTTGATGCTTCAGAAAAATGAGAAAAAAACCCGTAGAAATATATCATCTCCTTTTAGCTATCAGCAGCGTTTGGCAGGTACAACAGCTCAAACAGCCTCTTATTACAGAGAAATTTTGCTGCTGTACACTATTTTAGTTAATGAACAGGATGCAAAATGTTAGAAATGAAATATAGTCTAGGAAATACGTGTAGTCCAGGAAACATCAATATATCTGCTGTTATAGGCCTTCATGAATAAAAACAGATGACAAGTAGATGAAATGACTTTGTTTTGAATCTAGACCCTGTGGAATTTCAAGACCATTCGAGTGCCAAGATTAAGTCAGGCTGGAAGTTGTTTCTTCCTCACAGACATGAGGCCCTGGGTTCAAACAATTCAGGAAACAGCAGCAGCAGCAATGGTAACAACCACACAGAGTGAAAAAAACACAAACAGCTGAGAGCCAGCATGAAATATGGCTGTTCTTGTATGAAATAAAAGTGCACGAGATAACTCATTTTGGTGGTGTTGTATTTGCAAAGAGTTGTACATAAATAAGAGATTGCTGAAATATAATGTGGTATGCCTAAATAATGAAACTCACCTAAAAAAAATAAGGAAACTTTTCATGCAACAATATGAAAGAATTTCAGGATTATTAATTTTTTTGTTTTCCAATACCAGGAATCAAACTCACGACTGTGTGCTTGCAAGGCAGGCACTTACGCCACTGAGCTAAATCCCCAGCCCAAATTTTAGGATTATTATTCAATGTGAACAATCTGAATGCTGTTTTTAGTGTAAAAAAAAAGGGGGGGGATGATTTATATGTCTAGTCACATTCTTCAAAATGATTTGGTGAGATTACATTTATTTTGACAGTATCTACAAAAGTGCCCTTGAACCGGGCATGGTGGTGGACACCTGTAATCTCAGCACTCAGCGGGCTGAGGCAGGAGAACTGCTGTGAGTTCAAGGCCAACCTGGGATACATAAACAAGTTCAAGGCCAGTCTGAAATGCAAAGTGAGACTCTGCCTTAGAAAAAAAATGCTGTCCATAATATTATTTATAATAATAAAATGCTGGAAATAATAAAAGAAGTTCAGATATAGACCAATGAAGCAAACTATGATAAACTATGCAATGAAATATTCTTTACTACTGAAAATGCCATTTATAGTGAGTTTAGAATAATACACACCACGGTCTAGGGATTTTGCTCAATGGTGCAGCACTTGTCTGACAAGCATGAGGGCTGGATTTTGATTCCCAGTACCCAGGAAGAAAAAAAAAAAGAATAATACATATTTTGCTGCAGTAACAATGTGATGTGAAAGATAGATACACTCAGAACTCAACACAGAATAGATGCTAAGGAGAAATTATGAAGTTATCTAAATTGTGTTCAATATACATCTAAATGTCACTGACATTCTCAGTGGTAATACAGCATGTAGTTAATCAAATGTCTGTCACTGTTAACCTTACAAGAGGAAACAGGAGAATTGGATGTGAGGAGAAAGATTCTATAAGAAAAAAGCACACTTATATTAAGGAAGAAAATCATCTTGATATCAAGTTTAGAGTTAGCACTGGTGCTGAAATTTTTATTTCACATCTTTAGTTTTAGACTTTCTGTTTTATCATGCTGTCTCTTCCACATTTCTAGTTTTCCATGATGTCTCCTATTATAGAGTCTGAAAACTATTTATAATTTTTTTGTACCAAGGATCGAACTCAGGACCTTGCATTTGCCAAGCAGGTGTTTGTGCTGCTGAGCTAACCCCCAGTCCTATTTATAGATATTTTAAAGTATCCTTCCTTTCCTTTGTTCTCCCTACCCCAAACAACCTCATTCTTTCCTGTAAATTGGACTCCTTTCCTGTAAGTCAGTTACAGTGTTATATCTTTACATCTCTCGTGGAGGGTAAGTTACTTAAACATTGATTGATTTGTTGATTCATATGCATACTTATTATTCAATAAACCAACACCATGACTTAAAATTCCAAGCAGGAATGTGTGCATTACTGTATACCATATGGCTATACTGAGGGACTGATACTATTGATAATTACAGAGGCTACAGTTATAAATCAGTCATTACAGAAGTCTAGCATTAAAGACAGGTAAAATGGGATAGTAAAAGGCACAGGAGGATTTTTAAAATATTTTTAAAAATATAAATCGAGCACCTACTGTGTTCCAGGCTTAGAATAAATACATCAGTAATAAAGCAAATGTTTCTGATCTGATGTAGTTTGTATTTTAATACTGGGAGACAGCAAATAGGCAGTAATGTAAATATAAATAGTACAATGCACAGAGGCAGGGAGGGAGAGGAAGGGCAGACCTTGCGAGCCAAAATTAAGATTTTGGTAGAAGGTTATTTATTTCTCCAGCCCAATACACAGATGATAAAGAAATATAAGAGGTAAGAGAAGGGGAAAGGCCAGATAATCCAGCCAAAGCAGTGATAAAAATACAAGAGCAATGTTCTCGGCAAGGCAGCAAGAGGTTGGAAGAATGACCTGTCAGGGCAGGAAGAGAAGCCTGCTGGAGAAAGTCTTAGCCCCCCTCAGCAGTGGTAATTATGCTCATCTCTTAGCAACTTTGCACATGGTGACTTGACTTTATTAGCTTGCAATTGGCCATGGTGGGACTATTTATATCACGAACCATGGCAATTGCTACAGATCTAGGTGCTCAACTGATTTATCTGCCTGCTGATGATGCTTCTGGTGGGTAAGTAGGAGGAGAAACTAGTTCAGACACATACTGCACTGAAGACAAGTCGTAATGGTCTGTTTTCATGTGAATTAACATAAAAAGTCAGCCCAGTCAGCTGGAGAAAAAATGCAGGGGTCGAAAATAACTTCTGCAGGTGGAGAGTGAGGCTGGCTTTGCATGAGAAAATAAACAAGGCAAAAGCCACACAAGTGTGAAGAGTCAAGTCTAGGTAGACCACCAGCCCAAATCTCTAAATTTCTCTTCTTTCTTTTATTTGCTTGGAAGCCTGGAGAACTAAACAGCCTCCCATACAGGAGCCTTTTGAACGTTGTGTTCTGGTCTTTGAAAAGAAGCATTACAGGAACGCAAGAGAATTTAAAGCCAAGGAGAAAGGCACAGGTGAGAGCATAGACAAACTGCCAGGAGTCTGGTGGTTTCAATGAAATATTAATTGACAGGGCATAAAATGATTAAGCGCTACTCTAAGTAGTTAATGATTATTCATGCTTTAGTCTTTGATAATTTAGTCTTCAAAAAGATAACTGTCTGAGTTAAAGTAATATTTGCTTTGTTTTCTAGACAAAATAACTTAAGAGAATATTCCTCTAAATGCTTGCAAGTAAGGAGAGCTTGGCTGCCTGCACACTCCTGGGAGAATCCGGTTTTGCTTAGCAGTCAGAGCTGCAAGCCCTTTCTTGCTCTCTTTGTGGAAATACTAGAAAATCTGTGGTTTGGAAAGAAGCCGGAATTCCTTCAAGTGAGTATCCTAGGAGACTTAAGAACTTATATGTAACCTCACAGGATGGGGCTGCGCAAAAGCGCATGTGTGCACAAGGTTGAATTTCAGGAAAGCCCTCGGGATCCCACGTAAAGGCGGGTATAAAACGAAAACAAAAGCAGTAGCTGGGTCAGAGGAGTCCTTTGATTTGCCTCTCTGCACTCAAGGCTGCTCCTCTCTGCTGACTGAAAACAGGTTGGTTCATGCTTTTCTCCTTTTGACTTGGATATACTATTTCTAAAGCCCAGAGATTTTGTATTTTTACCTACCGAGTGGGAGAATTGATGCATAAAAGTTTAAACATTTTCGTGCACCAAAAAAAGCTATTTAGAAACAGCTGTATACTTCAACCTTAAAATGAAAATCTGAATATAGCAAGGAAATATTTTCAGTACTATTACTTGTTTATAATACTTTGTTAATGAAAAAACAGGTTTTGCTATATGAGTTTTCTGCTTTTTAAATAAACACCTTTTTTGTTTTATTAATCATTATGAAAACAAAAAAGGTCTTTCCATATATCTGCCAGAAAGATTTTTCCTGCAGGCAATTTCCATTCCTATTCTTATTTGCTGACTTTTTAGTATGCTTATTTAGTACTTCAAAATACGCTTCTTCAACATCCTTATTAATTAATAATATTGGCCATATTATTCTTTATCACCAGGTTCAAGATTTCTGTCACAAAACAAAGAAAGTTCGTGTGTTAATAATTAATTCAAAAAATATGAAGATCACATTCTTTTTGGTTGTAATTTTTCAAATAATTTAATGATAAACTAATCATTTAAAATTGTTGGTACTTGGTAATCTTTTTTGTAGTACTTTTCCTTAAGGGGCAGCCTTGACTTTGCTTTACTCATTTAAAAAAGGGTAGCTCATGATGAATATAGTCACTATGTACTAAAAATGTGTGCCAATAAAAATTTTAAAAGCTTTCACAGAGTACAAAAATAAAAGACTAGCAAGTTTAAGACATTTCTTTTGAAAATGAATCATATAAGTTAGCACATTTGAAAATAATATTTTCGTGACTGATCCTATAAGTTTACTTGAGATTCTTCAAAGAATAAAATTAACCAAAGGAGATACAATGGCCAAAGGAAAAAAAATACCTCAGCAATATAATAAAAATATTAACAGTCATTATAATATACATTGCAAGGCCTGGGGCTTCTGTGCAAAGCTTATCATAATACTGTGGGGTGCTGTTAGCAATATAGTACAATAATTTAACATTGAGGTGTGAGGTTCCTGGAATATCGTGTACACTACAGTAACAGTTTATACCTATCGGTAAAACCTTCAGTTTGATAAATACTGGCTGACCAGCTCCTGTGTACCAGGCATGCTAATGAGCTTTAATTATAATCACAAATCAAACAGGTCATATTTGGGGGAATTTAGCTCCTAGAGAGACAAGGCATTAGGGGAAGCACATCTTTTTCACAGGACAGGGCCTCTCCTCTGGAAGGTATGTATGGGGTCAGGAAAGTCTTCAGGGGAGGTGAGATCAAGGTAATCAAGTAGCAACAGTGATGAAAACGCAGAATGAGCAAGATGTAGGCATGAGCAATAGCACGTCAGCATCTGACTATGCTCAGGGTGGGGCACCAGGTGGGGAGAGGAGGCAGGAGCAAAAGGTGATGGCACAGTACATACAGAGACCTGGGCATCAAGGCTGAGGACCGGACTGTATCCTCCGGGGGAGGCAATATGTCTTCTGGGCAGGAAGCTACCAGGGGACTGGCAGACTGGCAATCTAGAAATAGTACACTGGGAGCCATAAGAAACACTTTTTGAAAAGGAGGTGGTGAGGAGGAATAACAGGACGCCAACCAGGAAAAAACTGCAGTGGGCCAGGGAAAAATGGGAAGTTCTGCAGGTGAATCCAGGAGTGCAGACTGGGAGAGGAGACAGACCCGAGACCTACTCAGAAGATAAAGGCAGCACTTAGGGACTGAGTAGGAATCAGGTGAAGCAGAGAGAAGTCGAGGAGGATGGAGGTTAGGGGTGCAGGGGTTGTCACTGGGGGTTGGTGGTGCTTCCCATAATAGTACACGAAAAGCAAGCACTGTCAGAGTTTGGGAGGCTGAGTAAAGGAGGTCCCGTTTGGTAAAAGCCAATGAGTGAAATTTGATACAAATCATTTAACTTACTTAAATTTAAAAATTAATAACAAATGAAAGATAAGTCTTTTCTGAGATTACAAATTTAAGTTATTAATGTATTTTGATTTTTAAACTTACTGTATTATAGATATACTCTGTATGATTCCCTAAGGCATATGTGTTGATATTAGAACATTTTAAAAAATTCCCTTTAGTTGAAATCTGACTAGATTTTTATATTTAAAAACTACATTTACATAAAAGTCTTCAGTTTGATTTAGGATTTAATTATGAAAAGTTTCTCAAGGTGCTATTCATCCTTCCTCTGTCAATTCCAGCTCTGCACACAGACTTGTAAAAGCAAAGGGCGGCTAGTTAACTAATGGGACATGATTCAGTGTGGCTCCCACTAAAGCTTTTCAAAGAGTGGCAGATTCAGGCTCATGTACGGCACAGCCACAGTCTGTTCTCTAGGGAACAGAAAGCTGTTTCCCTTTAAGCAATATTAAATCACTACCTCTCTCGTGTTCTTTTTGTTATCCAGATCGGCACCATGGCTTTGGAGCAGAACCACTCAGCAGATTACTATTACGAGGAAAATGACCTGAACAGCACTCATGACTACAGTCAGTACGAAGTGATCTGCATAAAAGAAGAGGTCAGAAATTTTGCAAAAGTTTTCCTTCCTGCCTTCTTTGCAATTGCGTTCATCACCGGACTAGCGGGCAACTCCGTGGTCGTGGCAATTTATGCCTATTACAAGAAACAGAGAACCAAGACAGACGTGTACATACTTAATTTGGCCGTGGCTGATTTACTCCTCCTATGCACTCTGCCTTTCTGGGCAGTTAATGCAGTTCATGGGTGGGTGTTAGGGAAAATGATGTGCAAAGTAACTTCAGCTTTGTACACAGTAAATTTTGTCTCAGGAATGCAGTTTCTGGCTTGTATCAGCATAGACAGATACTGGGCAGTAGCTAAGGCCCCCAGCCAGACAGGAGTGGGTAAACCTTGCTGGATCATTTGTTTCTGTGTCTGGACGGCTGCCGTCCTGCTGAGTGTACCCCAGCTGGTTTTTAATACAGTAAATGACAACAGCAGGTGCATTCCCATCTTCCCCCACCACATAGGCACGTTTATGAAAGCATCAATTCAAATGCTGGAAATCTGCATTGGATTTGTGGCTCCTTTTCTTATCATGGGGGTGTGCTACTTTCTTATAGCCAGAATGCTCCTGAAGATGCCCAACATTAAAAAATCTCAAGCCCTCAAAGTTCTGCTCACAGTGGTTCTGGTTTTCATTGTCACGCAGCTGCCTTATAACATTGTCAAGTTCTGGCAGGCCATAGACATCATCTACTCCCTGATCACTGACTGCGACATGAGCAAGCGCATGGATGTCGCCATCCAGGTCACAGAGAGCATCGCACTCTTTCACAGCTGCCTCAACCCTCTCCTCTATGTCTTCATGGGAACCTCTTTTAAAAACTATATTATGAGAGTGGCCAAGAAATACGGGTCCTGGAGAAGACAGAGACAAAATGTGGAGGAGATCCCTTTTGATTCGGAAGGTCCTACAGAGCCAACGAGTTCTTTTACAATTTAAATGTAAAATTGCTCTGCCTTATGCTTGGATGCACTTGAATGATGCTGCTTCTTCAGATAAAACATTTGCATGATTCTGAAACTCAGATATTGAACACTATTTTTGCCATTTATCACACAGAGGCAGCTGAGAGGCGGGAGGGAAAGGACAGAAGTCAAGAAGAATGAACGATAAACATAAAACATGGAAATTAAAAGGAACAAGAGGGAAAATATTAGTAAAAGGCTTCAATAGAAGCACTATGCTATGAAGAAGATCTTGGTGGGTCTCAAATAGTTTTGTATCTTGATTACAGTAGTGGCTAATCAAGTGATAAATGTTACAGAATTCTACAAACATATTGTACCAATTTCCACCATTAGGTCCATCCATGGCTGAAGGAGATCCAGGATCATTCTGTACTATCTTTATAGCTTCCTGTGACTTTATAATAACTTCACAATAAAACATTTTTAAAATATTCTATAGAATGTTTTCTATAACATACTCATAAAGGTGCTCATATTAAGAGGAACTTGTAATTATTATTAATTTCTAAATTGTAATATAAGAAAAATTTGCATAATTTTAGTACTTGGAATAACTGTACAGCAAAAATTAATCTTTTCTCTGTTTCTTAATTTGTAAGTAATTTTATAAAATTCTGGAAAGAATAACAGTAACTGATCAAAAAAGCAAACCAAAAAACCTAAGCTTTCCTGGCTCTTTTATACATTCCTGGTAAGTTCTTAAACACACAGTTTGCCCATGATGTCAAAATTTCTTCAGTAATAACTAGCTATCTTAATAAATACTATGTTTCTGATGTGAATTCTAGGGGTGATCATCAGGTTATAATAATTATATGAGTTCCAGTTTTTTTAACTTCTCAAAATTATAAAATATGGATCTATTGCTGAGAGTTGCCCAACAAATGTTATCCTATGTATAAAGTTTCTTATTTTGCATTTAAACTCTTAGACTTTTAGCCAATAAAAATATGTACCACAAATTATTATTATTTAGTGCCGAGGCCTTGTGTGTGCTAAGCATGAACTCTATTGCTGAGTTACCCCCCACCCTCCAGTCAATTAGTTTTAATCATGTGTAGAGCTTATCTTTCTAAATTTATTTTTCCTCTATTTTTAAAACTGAGCATGCTTTCAAAGGCGGAATTTAAAGAATCATGATCATGAAGCTGATAATTATGAACCACAGCATTATTCTGCTGGGATCAAGCTGCTGAGCAAAACATTTACCCTGAACACTTACCACTGCTCCACCATTTCTTGCCATTGATTAAATAGCTCTCTCCATCACGTGCAATGCTGCATTGAATATTTGTGGCGTCGCTTGAAGCTACATCAGGCTCTATAAATAAACGAAGGTGGACTTTATAGGCAGGCAGACATCATAACTTTGCAAAAGACACTTAGATTCAGGGATGCAGACTGAAAACATAGGCATTCTTATCTTCTCTGGTCCTCCCTAACCTACACATTGTAGGCATTCAATAACATTCGATGGGAGAATGAAGTCCGCGGAATATTGGGATCGTATTCTAAACTGTGCTCTGACTCCTTCTCTGGCTCAGGGCACAGTCACTTAGTCATCTTTCTGACCATCAAACATAGATTAAAATACTCTCGTTTACTTCCCACAATGGAAATCTGTACTCAATATTGGCAAGCCAGGTCTCTCCACCATAGAGTTTACTATCTTAATTTCTCACTGCGCCTTGCAGGTTCACTGGGAATGATCCCTCATTTTACACACCTTGCATTCTTTATAGTCTGCTCAACTCCTAAGGTTTCCAGAAAGTCTTTAAAAATAACTGTTTGACATTTAATAACTGTATGGCATTTAAGAATTAGATAGGTCTTAAAGTAATTTGCACTTATTAATATGTTACTCTTTTAAACAGGTCCTTCAGATATTTCATGTATTCTATTTCTGAAACTTGAGACTTTTTTTTTTAGAAAGGCACTCTGTATTTATTTTGTAACACAGAGTTAAACAACACATTATTCTGCAGGTGGTCAATAATGCCTGTTACTGAGTTAAATGGAAATCAACTTTCTTAATATAAATTGTTATAAAAAAATAACATCTGGTCATTATTAAAAGCACTCAAGAATTATGCCCAAAGGGCATTCAGTTTAATTATTTGCTCAGTCAATGATGATAATGATTTTACATTTTAAAGAATTGTTACTGTTTTCTATGCACAAATTGTAGCAAAGCCATTTTTATTGTTTCCCAGTTTTATTTTCCCACATGAAAACGTGAAACACAGAGGCACATCCTACACTCCCTGAGCTCATCCTTAATTCCCGATCACGCAGGGGAGGATGGTGGTGTGCCTTTACCTGTCATACAGAAAGCAGAGGTGATGTCCCCTCGGAGAAGAGGCTCCAGCCACTTCTCTTTCTGTTCCTTGCTTCCATACAAGTGCAACACTTCCATATTCCCTGTGTCTACACATAGGAAGAAACATCATGGGTTTTATGTGTAAGTTGACCAACATGAAATACACAACTTATATAGGTGATCCAGGGAGGCACCTTTTAAGAAAATGTTTGCTAACAAAAATATTCTGAAACATGCATTAAAGAGAATTTTCAATGAAGGCATGTCATAAATAATTATAAGTACATAGCACTCAGTATGTATTTATTTAACGTGTTCTGAATCACACACTCCTACCCACGTCATCTCTGCAAAGCACGGCTCTAAGTCACAGACCTAAACGCTGCCTGCTATCTGCAAATCCTGTATGCCCTGCTAGGAAAATGCAGTGCCCCTAGAGAATGATTCATAGTACATGTGCTCCCAAGATTCCAGCTCCTCAAACTTACCCTGTCCTTTCTAACTTCAACTTTGTTTGTTGGGCCAGGACTGCTTGCTCAAAGTTTCCTAGTCACTCAAAAATAAATTCATGCTTATGAGCCACTCTGAAAGAATCTTCAACCAGTCCAAAACACCTCCTTCCTCTGAACTGCCATAGCACTGCTGTCTTTTTGCCTCCGAGGTCACTTACTGTTGGGCAAGGGAGCCCACCTAGGAAAGTACTGGGTCCTCCCTCAAGCAGGTGAAAGACAGAATCCCTGCCTTGGACAGAAAACAGCAGTGATAATTTCAAAGGCTCATATTTTTCAGCATATGACACACTATGTTATCTTTCTCAACTAGAAAGAATGCCTCATGTTTGCTATGAGCCAAATACTCCACATGCCTCTCTGATTTCCAGTGCTATCTAAATTTCTAAAATTGCTATTTAAAACCACTCCCTTGAGCACTGATTACTTTGAATTTGAAGAATCATGCTTCAGTATCGCCTCTTATCATGATGTTAAGGATAGTTTTGAAACATCTATGAAAACTGAGTTAAGTCTAAGTAAATTGAAGTTATATTTGTGCTCAGTTAAGACACCCTTAACAGAACCAGTATTATATCAAGCTGCACAAAATTCCTGATAGATTAACACAAGCTTACTATTTTTTCAGTGAGGGAGAAAATAAGTCTTAAATTGTAACTAATGAAACTCATTGTTTACCTTCTTTGCTTGTTTTATATTGTTTTTCTTATTACAATTCAATTAGCTACTGAATAAAAATTCCCAAAATTATCAGTTTATTCTGAGAAGTTAGCAAAATTTATAATTTATGAGTGGGAAAATAAGCTCAGATACTTTTACAAATTTGTTTTCCATTTTAAAAAATCAGTCCAAAATCTACAAAATTTTCCAGTAATAGATTTGGGATTGAAATTACTATTACATGACTTATTGAAAGGTGAAAAAATAAAGAAAGAAAAAGAAGAAAAATTGTAAGACTGTTTCCCATAAGCTTTTTTAACTATAGTATTTGGGAAATGATTTGGGTAACTTACATGGAAGCTAATCTTGTATATTTAAGAAACCTCCCAAAGTATTTCATCAGCCTCATTTAGAGTTCCTTCCGTATCTGTTTTGAAAATATTCCAAAACACAATGTTGAAGGCCTTCATGAATATATCTCCACCATTAGAAGAAAACACTTATTTTTCTGCTTCCAGTTTTACATATCTTATTTGGTTAAAAGAGTTGTGAATAAATCCTTAGTCAAAGAAAATGTGTTTCCCTGCCCATTTATACATATCTTATTTGGTTAAAAGAGTTGTGAATAAATCCTTAGTCAAAGAAAATGTGTTTCCCTGCCCATTTAAACAATTTAACAATCTTGCAATATCATTTGAATGGTAAACTCAGACTCAAGAAATGCTGCTCCTAAGAAAAAGTCCGTAACTATCTAATGACAAGTGAGCTCACAGGTCAATGAAAAAACAGTGGTGGAGCTGCATTTGCAAATAAGTCTACAGAAATATTTGTCCTATTATGCTCCATTAGTGTAATTATGATTAATCTAACAAAATATGGATAGCATCCTCTAAAAATGAAAATAAAATTAAATAAAACAAAATTCATTACATTAAACTCAATGGAAAGCATCTGAATGCACTACACATAATAAGGCAAAGTGTTATTTCACAAAATCTTTCAGTAATATATAGGCATATTCAACCATCCACCCATTCACCCATCCACTCATCCATCGATGCATCCAGGAGCATACACAAACAACTACAGATGCTACGTATAGGGTCACAGTAAGATATATTTCTCACTATGAAGAGCAACAAAATAATTTTAACTAGAACACTATCAGTATATTTCCCTTTCCACATGCTATCTATGTAGTTTCTTGGGTTAGCTTCGCACAACAGAAATGAAATCTTTAGGAATTCTACTAGACAAAGTTCTTACAATGTCCTATGGACAGTAGTTTGATACCTCAGTGCTTAGAAGGGAAACCACATTAAGAACAAGTTCATTATCATCCTAAGTCTATGAAACCTCAGAACAGAGACAAAGAAAGGAGAATCCAGTATGAAGCTACCTTGCTAAAGTCAGACTCTGCTTTCTCTCTAAGTCAAAGAGCTCCTTTTAAAACTGAGCTTTCCTTTTGTACTATTCTGCTCAAAATACCTACTGGCTCCTCGTATCCTGAAGGTATAACCAACCCCTTACCTAGCCCCTTACCACCACCCAACGCAGGAGACTGTGTTTCTCTTTCATCTCTTCCACTATTCTTCCCCTTGCACACTGGCTCCCTTAACTATTCCCGGAATACACACCGCAGTCACATTCTCCCTGACTGCAGGGGTGGCCACACCTATGGCACACACAAAAGATATTAATGTGAGTTTTCTAAACTAACGCCTCAGTGCTATATTCGGGTTTAGTAACAGTGTTGGTTCTCTGCCATCAGTAAGTGGGTCTTGGGTTACAGTCTGGCAGTCTCTTTGGCATTCATTACTGCTTTAGGGCCTTTGAATTTTCTGTTCTCTCTGCTATGAAAACTGTCCCCCAGATATCAACCTGGCTAAAGCCAATCAATTACCTTTATCAAATACCATTTTATCAATGAGGCCAATTTTGGCCACTTCATTTTAAATTATAGCCCATATTTTCTGTCCCTCGGTGATCTGAAGCTCCCATTCCTGCTCTGTTTGTTTTTTCTTTTCAAAGTACTTTTCATTTTTTGATTTACCACATAATTTATCTATTTATTATTTTTGTTTCCCTCTATTTGTTTTTTTGTTTTCTCTTTTTTGGAATTTGATCCCTGAGGGAAAGAATATTATTCAGGTATTTATTATTGTAACATTTTATTCACTGATATTCTATCAAAAGGAGCTAGAAGAATCCTTAACACATAGGAAGTTATCAATAAATAACTGGTGAGGGGATGGAAAGATAGTGAAGCTAAGTCAGGGATTTGGAACTGTATACATTCTGATTAGGCACTGAAATACTCATCCCCATCAGGAAATCAGGGTTCTCACATAACCAACACCCCACCCATTCACCCATGGGTGGCGACTTCTCCTTAACAGTACTCATCAGGTGATGATGTTTAACAAAAAACAGTGAAAAATCAACCCTACTTTCGACATTTAAATCAGGTACAGTGAAAAGTAAAATTAAATTGCACGTAGATTTTGTGTAGAAAAACTTCCCTGTCATAAAATTAAAAAAAAAAAATTTAAACTCTACTCAAAGCATTAGAGAAAATTCTGTTTTTAGTTAATGTAGTAACCTGGTGCTTGGCAGTTAAAGATATTTGGAGCAAAAGAGCATTTCCCAGTTTCTTCAGCAATCAAGGCGTAGTCCACCTGGCTGAGACCACTCACAGCTGGCAAAAACAAGTTCCACAGGCCTTCTGCTTTGGCCATTTCCTGTGAAGAGGATGGGGACGCCAAGTGACCAACGCTTAGTGACCCGAAGGATCTTAAAAATACTTAACAGGATTCTTTTATCTAACAGTGCATAAAATCAAGTAGCTACTGTATTCACCACAAATCACTAGTTTTTGTTTGTTTTTCAGCTGTTCAGAAATGTCTTTTACCCAGGCTTCCTTAGATTTGGCTGAAAAATTACATTGGCTTACTTTTGAACTCTCTGTTAAATTATACCTATGATAAGGTCGCCCCTAGGTGAGTAGAATTACGCCAATATACTACTTTATACATTTTAACTTTTAGATGTAGATTAAGCCCATAGGAGATAAGAGCTGTGTTCTCTCTGCCCCTCTCTTGCCCAAACCTCCTTCTTTCCCTCTCCTTGTGCTCCCCAGACTTGTGCCTCCAGCCGTGCTCTTCTGCTGAGGGCCACCCCAGAGCCTTGCTTTCATTTACCTCAACTTAGTAATGGGTAATAATGAGGAGTTTTGATATTTCCTCTTTGAACAGCTGAAGAGGCTCTCTTTGTCACATACCACAGATAGAGAACTATATAGCCCCATTTATGTATTATAGATTGTATTTTTAAATTTCCTTTTTAAAAAAATTATTACTCATATAATTATCCTCTACATATATAATAATAGCAGTAACAAAAAATGAGGGTCTCCAAAAGCACCCGGCAATGAAATTTCCAGTGTAAAGATTTTCTCACCTTGAGTTTCTCTATCACTGAAGGTTGCTTCCACCTGTCCACTGAGTTTTCATTTTGAATATAGTACTCAAAAACTTCCTTAAAGTAATAAAAGAAAATATAACTCAAGTTAATACAAAATAAACCATGTCATGAACAAATACTAACCAATGTAAACATTTTTAGGGGAAGAAACCAAATCAGGAATATACCCTTTTTATTCTTTCTTTCCTTCCTTCCTTCCTTCCTTCCTTCCTTCCTTCCTTCCTTCCTTCCTTCCTCCCTTCCTTCTTTTAGATAAGGTCTTGCTATGGAGCCCAGACTGACTATGAACTAACAGCAGTTCTCTTGCCTCAGCCCCTCAAATGCTGGGGTTACAGGTGTGCACCATGCTTGGCTGTTCTAAGTCTTTTTAAAGCCAGACAGAGGATTTCCAGTATTAATCTATAAAGTGTATATGCCAACCGTGGTGAAGCATGCTTATAATCCCAGCACTCTAGAAGCTGAGGCTGGAGCATCACTGCAAGTTCAAGGCTATGAACTACATGGCGAGATAAAAAATAAATAAAGTTTGTATTTGCATGTGGAAAAAGAAAAACAGACACAGCAGTAAAAATTCTAAAGGTTGGCTACTCACAATATTATGCCTCAATATTAGACAGTAATAATCTCACACTCACTTGAGTGTTCCATTTCTACCACTGTGGCACAAGAGATATTGCCCAAATTAAAAAAAAAAACTAGGTAAGATATTTAAGATAGTTCTTATATATATTTGGTAATGCATAGCTGTGCTGGAAGGGAAAGGCCTAGAACAGAGCCTGACTTTTCAGGTGTGAGGGAAGAGTGGAGTCAATGTTTCAAACTGTGGGTTCTGATCTATGTTCCCCTCAGCCCTGGGCTTTAATGGGCTACAAAGCAAGGAATCCGGAGATGCAGCCAAGTGGTACAGCAACAGGGAGGATCAGAGATCACTTTCACCCTCCACCAAGTCCAGGACGCTTGGTGGGTAAAATTGAAGTAGAAATATATATATATATATATAAAATAACAAACACAAAGCACCTCAGCTCCTCAAAGGTAGACCTGGGAGATACAGATGCACAGATAGGTTTGGGACGCAATAAGCAGGTACAAAATTGTCGCGACTCTGTGACGTCCACAAGGTACAACCTAACTTGTGGACTGACTGGCTCAGAGGCTTGATACTAGCCTGCACCATCCCTGCATCCCTGCATGTATCTCAGATAACAGCAAACTGGGGAGGGCAGCAAAACCCCAGTCAGCACACTTCGGAAAGACCCTAAGCAACACGGAGAGGGTCAGAGACCCAGGACACACCAGGCTGAAAGAAACTAGAAACATGACAAGAGATAGAAATTTAAAAACCTCCAGCTGCTGAACCTGGGGAAATAAGCCCAGGAGAAGTAAATACACAAGAGAACCAGCACAGTAGCTAACCAATACTAGATACAGCATCAGCGGACATAAAGAAATACCTTCATGACCTCATAGACGAATTTAAAACTATACTTCTGATCCAAGTGAGGCAAAATATAAAAACATTAATTAAAGACATGATAAGCCCCTCCCAAGAGAACACAGATGGAAGAACGGAGGAACTCAGAAAAGAAAGAGAAACCTTTGATGAAGAATTTAAACATAACCTAGAATACATGAAACAGATCCAAAGAGATTACCAGGAAACTAAAAACTCCATTGAAAACTGGCAAAATGCCTTGACAGAAACTAAAGTTAGCCTTTTGAAACTTGAAGACAGATTTATGATATATGATCGCAAAAGAAAAGATCTCTTAAAAATAAACGAGGAAAAAGAAAGAAACAATTCAAAGGCTAGAAGACAACAAAAGGATATATAACTTAAGAATAAAACACATGACCGAAGAAGCAGAAGTAACCAAAAATGAACTACAGATATAATAAAGAAAACTTCCCAAGCATAGGAAAAAGAAATGATATCCAGATAAATGAGGCATACAGAACTCCAGCCACCTACAACCAAAACATATCTACACCCAGACATATAATAATCAAGAATCCAGAAATCCACCAAAAAAACCAGAATATTAAAAGCAGCCAGGGAAAAGAAGCAGATTATCTACAATGGAAAAATTTTCAAAATAACAACAGACTTATCAACACAAACTCTCAAATGGAGAAGAGCCTGGGGGAAATAGTCTAAACCCTGAAAGAAAATAATCTGCAACCAAGATTGATGTACTCCAGAAAACTCTCTCTCAAAATTAATGGAGAAATAAAGTGTTTCCAAGACAAGGAGGAACTGTGGGAGTTCATGGCCACCCTCAACCCTACAAAAAATACTGAAGGACATTCCAGAGAGAGAGAGGAAAAAATACCACGATTCCAGCAACAGTGGCAGAGAAACCTCAATGAATGGGGCAGATAGTGGAATTAAAGAGTAAAGTGGACAAATTATAGCAGAAAAATAGAATAGCAGACATGAGGCAGAGATAGCAAGCTATAATCTTTAATATAGATAGCCTTGATATACTAAAATAAAAAAAAAGAAACAGAGTAGATTAGGAGGCAGGTTCCATTGAGATGCTCTGAATAGGAAATACACTCAACCCAAAGGAGGGTTAATAAACTGAAAGTCAAAGATGAGAAAGCAAAGCTATATGTGACAGGAAACCAGAGAGAAATAGGGACAACTCATCTAGCAGCCTCAGATAGATTGGAAAGCTATGACACTTTTGGGCAGTGTAGAACTACAAGCTGGAAGGAAGGAAAACCCTATGACTTTAGTGAGTAAAGGAGTACAGCTCAAGATCAAGGTCAGGGGTAGAAATGTTCAGCAACACTCAGATAGACAACAGGCTGGCCCCCTAATCTAAAAACTGAAGGGGCTAGTGGGACCCAAAATATACAAAGCATCCTGAGAAGGGGAAAGGTGAAAAACAGCCTAAAAAAGGAAGGCAGAAGACATTGTTAATAGTGTATCAGGATTTAAAAGTCACAGTAGTCTTATTGCTCTGTTTAGTTTGATTTTTTTGTTCTGGTCTGTCCACTCATATCAGATTTGAGGGCACAAACATCTAACTCAAAAATAGCAGGTTATACCATGGTAACTATCCTTAATTTCCTATTAACTTAAACTGAAACCCTGTATTGCTTATATTGTCTTACTATGACTGATCATATTTGAAGCTGGTTTGTTAGACCATGGTTTTGCCTTGGCTGATATTATTGGAATTTGGTATGCTTGATAGTATCAAGTCTAAGAGTAGAGGCAACTACTCTGAAGATGACAAGATGTAAGAGATACCCATTCCAGTGTGATTATTAACTGCTTTCAAGTCCTACAATGTCTTCAAAGTTGTGTTTTTATAAAAATAGCTATGTAATACTATGCTCAACTATATTAAGCCTGATGATGTGGACAAGTCTATTGAAAATAATAAGAGAAAGCATAGCAACTACAGTAGATCACTTAATATTGTGGTCTTATGTGTCTTTTTCATTGCATGTTTTTCTAGGAATTTGTTTTGTTGTCTTGTTATGATCTGTTTTTCCCTGTAGTACAGAAAGGATAGCTAAACATGTAGAAATTCACACGTGGGAAGAATTTTTTAAACTATTTACGGGAACAGATTATATAATGCACAATGTAATGAACATATACCCTGAAGAAGAAGAGACACTAAGAAACCCAATGCTAATTCTGTAACATTATGATATAAAAATCTAGCAATACTATTATTCACTGTTCAGAGTGATATTAGTCTAGCCTCTTAAGTTCAATTTCAGCATACGTGAAGATAAGGACACTACTTCGAAGAGAATGAGAGACATTATGGCAGTCATTATTGACTTCCCCAATGTCAGGTCTTGAAGACCTAAAAAGCCTTCATCATCCTGTAATGATTTGATTAGTTCTATAATATGCAGTATGTATTCAATGTGTGCGAAGATGGGGACAATTATTTGGAAGAAAACTAGAGACAATAAGATAGACAGTGAAGATCTCCAGTGGACTTGCTTTGAAGTCCATATTTCTTTAAATTGTTCTTTATGAACTGCTTTGTTCTGTTTTGATATGTTTAATCTTACCCTCTTACAGTAAAAAACAAGTGTGTAGGACTGATAACCATATTACTAAGTTTTTGTTGGGTCATTGAGCAGAACTGTTGGCAGTGTCACTATTTGAATGTCACTTTGTATGCTTTAATTTTGTAACCTGAACACCTAAGATGACAATACGTAACTTATCAACTAGTGATTTCTTTCTGTTTGTTTTTCTGTAATTATGTATTATTTCTAACCTTTTTTTCTGTTTTTTTTTCTCTTTAAATAAAAAAGAAAAAGAAAAATAGTTTGCCAGTACATTCTCAGTCAGGAATTTGATTCTAGACTAAACATCCAAGTTGCCAGAAGGAACAATAAAATAAATAAATATGTAAGTAAATCTAAAGTAAGAGCTAGCCAGTTAAAATTAACAGTCTCTAATTTGTGCACCTAAAAGATACAACAGAAACACAAGGCTAGCCCTGGGGTTTAGCTCAGCAGTGTAAGGTGCCTGGCTGACAAGTGTGAGGTCAAGAGTTTGATCCCCGATACCAATAAAAAAAAAGACTATATTGACACTCTAGCATTTTACTAACATAACATCTCTGTATCTATTACTTCATTTGGTATTTAGGCTGGTTAAATCATTGGCTAAAAGCTAAAATCAGTATCAAAACTATTCACTCATATCATCTTACTGTTCCACAAACACTCCAATAACCAATGTACTGAAATGTTCCCTCACTGAAGAATGGCCTGTCTACACTACTGCTGTATTTGTTGAGAACTCAAAAAGGCAGAGCCCAGCCCTTTTAAAGGCACAGGCTGAATATCCTGTCATCTTTCTCAGGAAGTCCACTGAAAGAAGATTTCCTGTTTGGGGATGTTTTTATTTATATCCATTGTATTGTCACAGAAATAGTCAATGCTATTGTGTTTGGTAATAAATATATTATGCAATACATTTACAATTTCCTCATTGCTGAATGCTTCTTTATGGGATACAGTTCTCAGAAATTAAATTATGCTAAGATTTGATGCTTCATACTGCA